GGCCCCGCCCCGCCCCGCTCGCGTGGCTCCCACGCTGCGTTTGCCTGGTGACTTAGGCAGCGGCGCGGGAGGGGGGGAGTGGCGCGTGATGCCCCGAGGGCTGCTGGGAGCTGTAGGCTTCACGCTCAGCCGTGGGGGGCGGGGCCGCGGCGCAGACTCGCTCTGGCTGCGGGCGAAGGCCTCGTGGACTGCGACGTCATAGGAGCCCCCCCGGTCCACGCGCTGCAGCGAGCGAAGTCCGTGTGGCCCGGAAAGGGCCGCCGTGCTCCCGCCGTCAGGTGACACGCCCTGCTCTTCCCTGCCAAGGCTGCTTGGTGGCTGGAATGGCGGAATGGTCACCGTCATCGGGCTGTAAATACCGGCTCGGAGTCTGCGCCGCCCCTCTGCTTTAGCGCTCTTGTGCAATTAACTGGTTAATTGTGCAATTGCCTGCAGACCAGCTCGGCCTAGGAATAGCTGCTGGAAGATAAAAAAAACTCCAACCAGCTCTGAAGTCACGCCTGGAAAACGTGTATTAGCTTGAGAGTGGGTTACTACTAGCTTCCATTTGCAGGTGTAGAGTGGTCTGCCCTGCAGCTAGGAGACCCATCAGCTGCCAAAGCTCCCAGCCACATTGGTGCACCCTGCCCCGTGTGAAACCCTGGGGATTTCAGCTGCCAGGGGCTCTGGAGCATGAGAAACCCCCCAGGCCAGAGGATTCCCCACCCCCCACCCCAGGAGTGCAGGAAACCCTTTGTGATCTGGCCTGGTGGTGTGTGCCGAGCCCCTGTGGCTGGGAGCCCTGCAATTGTGGGGGCTCCCAGCTGCAGAAGCTTGCTTTTTACTGGTGCAGAGGGAGCCTAGAATTGGGCTGAGGGGATAAGGTATGATGGGATCTAATGCACAATCCCACAATCATGTCTCCTGCCATCCATGTATGGCACAGCAGAAGGTGTGATCATGTGAATTGTGCATTAGATCCTATTGTGCCTTTACCTGCATGTGTACAGGGGACACGAGTGCATTGGGTGCTGCTGGGTTCTGAACAGTGGAAGAAAGAAAAGACAGGAAAAGGTGAACTGCCTTGGCATCTATGTAGTGTGCCTCCATCATCAGCACAAAGAAAATGTTGAGGAAATTATAAAAATCTCAGGATTATGTCTGTAAGGCAGCCTACCTTTAGTTATGTTCAACCTGGCTGCTGTCCTCATAAGGATGACAAGTAAAGGAAAAGAGAAGTAGTGCTAAACAGATTTTACAAAATAATTGCCTGTCCCCAGCTTGAAACCACAGTTGTATGGGACTGGAATTTGCAGCCAACCAACACCTGCATAACAACTGAATGGCTTTATGGCACCAATCACAATGTAGGCCAGAATAATACAAAACCAAGGCTGCTGGCAAGAACAGACTAATACAAAAGACATTACTTTTGTGAGCATTCTAGATTTATGGTTGGCACTGAGCAATGTTTGTCATGCTTCAGCAAGATGAAAAACCTAGTTAGCTGTACCATGTCACATTTCCTCATAAGCAGAAGTGTAAATGTTACTTAACTGATTTATAGTATGTAATGTGTAACCTAGATAAGCTCTGGATACAGAAGCCATATCATTTAACAGCCAAAGAATTTGATTTTATTAATAAATCATTAAATCAATGGAATGAAATTATCTACATATGCAATGTTTATACAGTTAAAACTAAATGACATAAAAGGTTCAAGGTGAGCTGGAATGTCTTCCATTGATAGTAAACCCAATTTAGATGTTTTAAATGCACACAACCTTTTCCTGTTTCTTGCTGTTTAGGTAGGTCTACAGGGGCATATGACCTCTCTCCTGCTTTTCTTTTCGGCACCTGAGAGATGTTGAAGGAGGGAAAAGGCAAAACTGATATTCTCTGCAAGTTTTTAAGGAGTTTGGTTAATCCTGTCCATCCCTGCACTCTTTTAGAAATTGAGGTGGAAAGACTACTAGCCCCTGGCACCTGAAAATAATGAACCCTAATATACTCTGAAACAGACATAACTTGAAAAATTCTGCAGAAGGAAGAACGGAAGCTTTTCATGGTTTATCTTAATGAGAATACAAACATTGCATGGAACAAATGTTAAGTGTGTGTAATTATCTTGCATGTTGGGAGTGGTGTTTTCAAGTCTGTTTAGCTGAGAACAGACAGCTTTCAAGCTGTTTTTTCTCTTTTAAGAACATACTTAGAGTTATTGGTCTTCAAATACAAAGAATACAGAGAAAAGGAGAAAAGGGGGTGTAATCTTGCATGTCATATAAGTGTAGTAAGAAAAAGGAAACCCTTGGAAATGTAAAGAGAAAAATCTCAAAACACAATTAAATAGGCCACTTTTTTTTAACCTACATACCTAAATAAGTTACCTGTTTGTTTTTTTTCTGGTGCTGTGGGGGCACAACTGAAAACTGGGAGGACCTTCAGTAATGACAATCAGTGATGCATCTACTCCTGTAAATTGGTTAATGCTGGGTATTTCTACGCGAGATTGCTTAACGCACACTGGACTAATTCTACTGCTCATTAGTGCAGCTGGCAAAAACCACACTACTGCACAGTAGATGGAATTCAATGAGCATTAAGCATCACACAAAAAGCATTCCTCTGTGCTAATATACAGTAGTGCCATTTATGCTGCATTAAATTAGTACCTATTATTGCAGGTACTAAATGCACCATAATTACAGCGCAGTATTGAATGTGTAGACACACCCATAGTGGCTTACAAACCAAGAGGGCCAAAAAAGTTTTTGAGAAGGTATTTCACCATAAGACTTTGTAGCAGATACAAATATGCAGTACTTTTGTATCTAGAGAAAACATGCACACTCACACTTTTGTAAGTTGGGATTTTGGGTATTTTACAGGAAAAAGATGGCTACATTGAATCAGGCTTAAACTATAAAATACACTCGTATCAGAATAACACTTTAGAAAGAAGAAGTCTGGTGGCCTGAGGTCAGGACCAGTAGTCAAGAATTTCCAAATCTTAGCTGAGGCCAGGATGACTAAGAATGATTCCCACATTCTTACCTCATCTCTGATACAAACTTCTTCTCAAGATTGCCTGGCCAATACGTTTAGAAGGAATCCCTATCTTTGACTGCTTCATTAAACATCACCTGAGTCTGATTTTCATGATTGGTGAGCACAGACAGCTTACATTGACTTCAGCTGATTGTTTCTGCTCAGCCCATCTGAAATCAGGCAGTAAGCATCAAATCAGTCCTGTCACAAGTTATTAAACATTTGAAAATCTGGTCTTTAAACTTTTGTTTTGCAAGTGGGATAGCAATACCACATCTAATGTATTATTACCTACTTCAAAGCTGTTGTGAGAATGTATTAGCTAATGTTTGTAAAACTTTTTGGAAATCAAAGTGCTATATACATTCCTAAGTATCATCTACACTGTACTTTGTTGTTCACACACACTGTTGGTGCATATATATCAATATAAGTAGTCTTACATAGTATTTTAAGCAATACATTTGACACATGCAAAAAGAATAGTATAATACAGAAATCCACATGTGCTAAAGTAGTAACATATAGAGCTTTGTTTACAGTAGCTACACTCATGTTTAGCTTGACTAGGCTATTTATCAGATATCAAAAGTGATCTTATTATCACCCACCCACTACTGGATGCTTCACAACTCACTTCCTTCATCTCATTATACCGCTTTTGCAATGCATAATCAAAAAGTTGATTCTCTTACCAGGACAGCTAACTCCCACTCTCTAAAAAGGCCCAATCCTTGAAAATGAGCTCACTCCTACTTGGCCTGGAGCCTGCTTTTAACTCTAAATCCAAGGTCATGTAGGCTGGAAAATAATGTGTAATTGGATTAACTAAGATAAAAAAAACTATGTACATTCTTGAATGAAAAAGGTCTACGATGAATGTTTGCTATAGTAAAGTACACGGAATGCAGTTTCCAGAGCCACTGGCTCTTTTCAGGGAATCTCCTGTCTCACAATTTATAATTTTGCCTAATGTTTAAGAATTGACCAGTCTGATGCTTTGGAATTTTTGCCTTTTATAGTCACCTTGCTTGAATCTGGATAATTGTTTTGTCAAATTATATAATATTGAGAAACCATGGCTATCTCCTGTTCTATCTAAGCTGAGATCCCAATAGAATGATTATTATTCATGTGCTTAGAGAAAAATATAGGCAAACATCTGCTTGTGTGTGATACCCCTTAGCTATAAAAGAAAACTCTACTCACAATTCTTGAGCAAGATTTTCTGCAAGTTGCGCTTGTGCTGTAGATGGATTAGGCATTGCTTTTAGACCCACTGTAAATTTCAGGAGGTAGCACTTGAAAGAGCACTTACTTGCACTGAAGAAGGTTATCAAAACAATTGGGCATGGCCTTTTACTTAACAACATTCAAAACATGTAGACGTCTAATTGTTAGAGGTGTAGGTTGTAGTCGTGTTGGTCTAAGGACATAGGCAGACAAGGTTCTTTGGGTGAATCTGATATCTTTTATTAGACCAACTTAAATAGTTTGAAAACAATTATTAAGCAAGCTTTTGGGTTCAAAAACCCTTTGTCAGGCTAAGGAAGTTTCAGCAGTTGGTGTGTGCTCTTCCCGGATGGAATGAAAAGTAAAGAAGCCAGAGGCTGGGCTGGTCTGCATACAAGACAGATAGTGAAAATGTAGATTGAGGAGTCAATGGGTGAGAGACAGGCTGGGGTGGGGGAGGGAGAGAAAAGGGGGATGAAAGTGGAGCGATACCTGGGGAGTCAGATGTCAGGCAGGTTATAATGTGTCATAAATCCAATGTCTGTATTTAGTCCATGATTTTTAGTATCCAGGAGGTTGATTGGTCTCTCCTACATATTTTCCATCAGGTCATTTGGTGCATTGGATGAGATATATTACATTTCTGGAGGTGCAGCTGTAAGATCCAGGAATGCTGATGGTTCTGTTGTGGGGTGTAGTAATAGTGGAGGTGGTGGAGATGTGTTGGCAGGGTTTGCATTTCTTGTCATGGCACGGTCTGGATCCTTTTGGCGTGTTCTGGGCTTGAGGAAGTTTGCTTCTGGTGATGAGGTTGGAGAGGTTCGGTGCTTGTTTGAAGGCTAGGATGGGGGGCTCTGGGAAGATCTTTTTAAGAATAGGGTCTCTTTCTAGTATGGGTTGTAATTGTTTGAGGATTTTCTGTACAGGTTCAAGGGAGGGGTGATATGTCATAACCAGCGGTGTGCGATTTGTGGGGGGGTTTCTTCTGTACTGCAGCAGTTCTTCACATGGTATCTAGGTGGCTATTTAAGTTGGTCTAATAAAAGATATTAGATTCACCCAAAGAACCTTGTCTGCCTAATTGTTAAAGATGCATTTTAAATCAATTATGGTCTATTTGTACAAATTTTGTAATGGTTTGTTCTGATTTCCAGATCAGATATAGCCAACTATCTCTCTACATCCAGCTCTGCCCAACCCCTCCCATTCTTCTTTGCCTTTTCTTCACATTTTTTCCATCTCACCCTTTACTGCTCAGAAAAGTATCCTTGTCACAGTACACTGAATACCACCCCTTACCTCTTGTTGAAAAGCCTTTTCCCTAAAGAATAGATGTGACTAGGGCATAGATGAAAATGAACTGGCTGCAGCTCAGTCTTGAGGAGGCAGATGAGTGGGGGGAGGGGGGAGGAAGAGAGAGAGAAGTTCATTGAGGTTGCAGAAGCCTCTCTTTCAGGATTTACGTCAACATGCGACTAAAGTCCACAGTGTGGAAGGCTGATTTGGCTCCTAGTTGCCTTTGAATGATCAAATTGCAAACTATGACCCAGGGAGCCTTTTTCACTTGTCTCTTGTCAGAAGATGATATTTTTTTTCTTTCAGATGTGTATGTGAATCATGTCTTTAGCTTTTAGACTGGATTATTGCCCTACTGTAGGTGGAGCTACAGACTATCCTCTGGGGGTGCTTGTACATGTATAGAAAAAAGGATCAGGCCCCTCAGTGCTTTTTTTACCCCCAGAGCAGAGCCTGCCTGTGGCAGCAGGGGTGGGGGAGCCGATGGTGGGCTGTCATTATTCCATCAGTGATGGAAGCCCCTAAATTGAAACGGTGGGTCACAATTAAAAATCCACAATTAAAAACCCACTTTTTAATTTAGAATAACTAAACCCCACCTCACATGTACAAGCACCCTTGGACACTTGAGTTGTTTCATGCATCTGGTTATTTTCAGGGGAAAGGAACGTACTTCCTGATGGGCTCTCACCAAATCACAGCTGTCTGCTGGAGAGTTTTGGAACTGCCCAGTGGGATGAGGGCTATATTGTTTTATCTCCTGGATTTTGTCATATGCATGAGAGTTTGGACCCCTAGATTTGTAGTTATATACTAGAACCATGTTTCCCTGGGAGCAGATGAAATTTCCCTTCCACATGTACACAATCAGGCAGCAAGTCACACCCAGCTGTGTAACTGCAGACACAGCAATTTTAATCTCATATGACACAAAATTACAAGCATAAGGATTAAGTGTATATTTCAAGTGCTTAATCTGACTTTCCTTTGTGATTGATTCTAGACCTGTTCATAAGCAACAAGCAAACTGGAGGTGGGGGGTATCTAGGAAAGGAGTTCTGAGTGTTGCCTTTGGGGAGGGTGTGCAAAATAGCTGTCAGCAGCCAAAGACTAGACAAGCAAAGCAAAGAGAAACAGCTGAATCCTGGAACTAGCAGATAAAGGTAACACCAAATTTTGTACTTGTTGCAGCTACGTTGTTGAAAAAAAATAAAAACCAGGAGTGTGACACAGGCAATGTTTAAATGAGGGAGACTGTACATTTCATTTCTAAATTCTACTTGTTTTCCAATCTGCGTGTACTTGATATGTGTATGGTATCCATCCTTAGATTTGAACAAAGATACATTTGCAGCTGATGATGAATATCAGTTTCTTACAGAATATGTTGATCCATCTTTTAAGCATACAGATTATTATCCATGAGAGAGAGATTTCTGTAAGAGTAATACCCTAATTTCTATCATTAATGATGTGAACTTATTAAAGTATGCTAGTTAAGATCAGCATGTATACAGGGTGAGGAGTTTGCATTCTGCACACAAGTTCATAGGTTATTTCTATTTAATATTTGACATCTGGCTATTTTAATAATTTTCTTGGCTAATCACCAGTGCATGGATGAAATGTGAACCTTTTTAAAAAAAATTATCTTGTGCCAAAAGTAAACTGCACTGTATTGGAAACTTTCATAAGAACTTTAGCAGCTGTCCTAGTTCAGTCTTCAGAGTGCTTGGTAGTTGTTAGCAGGTATGTTAACAGAAGAGTGATTTGAGTGGACTTTGATAAACTCTTTTGTACATTTTCAGACCATCTGAGATAGAATGGCTGCAAAATGGAAGCATTCTGCTGAGTCTCCTTTCACTATAATTGCTAAT